TTTTCTCTGAGCCTCGAGAATCTGCCAGAACCTCTCGTCACCCCCCCCCCCCCTTTGCATCAATCTCACTAGACTGTGGTGATCCATCTGCTCCTCCGAACTGTACATGTTCTCCCACAAGGCACCAACCACGTCTGCCTTATCATGCATCAGTATTTCACCAATCTGTGCAGAGCCAGCCAGTCTGTCCGCCTGTTCATTTCCCAACTCACCGGCGTACCCTGGTGAAAAAATCCAGACAATACTCCTCACCTGTGTTCTCCGCAGTGAAGCATGCCACTCTGCACAAAGCAGGCCTGTCCTGATCTTCCTCATCATGCTTTCTTAGTCAGTTACAATCACGATGTGTGTGTGTGTGTCGTGTTCTCTAGCCAGTGGAAAACTGCAGTGACAGCCTCCACCTCCATTCTTAAGCTGGATGTTGTTGTATCATATGCTAGGCTCTCCTGCACCAAACGTCGACCAATAACTTTTGCTAAGAAACCCTAAGCATTTCTTTTGCCTCTTGACACTGAACCGTCTGTGTAAATGATCAAATCTTTCGAGCGAGCATTATCTTGAATTAATTGCTGAATTTCCACCTCTGTGGCACCTGCTGGCCAGTCTCTGCAATCCCGGCTCAATATAAACCTACACAAGTCTGACTGTTCAGGTGACACGTTGACCCACTCCTCTCCTCGCCTACTGTTCTCAAGGATGCAAATCTGTCTGATTGTGTCTTTTGCCTGAGCCATCCATGACTTCCCTCTTATCAGCCGCTGACCCTTAACTGCACCCAGAGCTTTGTGCAAAGGGTGGTCTGTGTCTGCAGCTACCCTGAGATATGACTTCGCCTGCAGCACCTTGTGCCTACCTGCAACAGTCTGCAAACTACGGTCACCAAGAGAGCAGCGAGATGGGGAAAGAGGTTGGAAGGGGGAGGGTTGTCAGCTTCCATTTAATTCCTTTTTAGAGTGGGGCACATTGGGCTGGAGCCTTTTTTTTTTTTTGGGCCAACCCTTTGTTATCAGTGCTAGACCTCGATGACAAAATAAGAACTGAAATGAGATTCCTGCGAGGGGCTCTCAATATAACACAAAGATATAAAATCAGAAACGATGGGATCCGAAGCAAAATGGGCGTAACAGCAGCTGTGTTTTTTCATTTGAAGACAACTGGTGAAATGATATGGCCATATAATGTCAGCAGACAGTATACCAGAGCAAGATTGATATACAGGCCAGGTGAAAGGCGAAGAAAAGGGCGATAATCAAAGGGAATTACAGAATCCCTGGGACTCCACATTTACGAAGCACACATATGGGTGCTTTCCCGAAAATTATAATTCACTTCGACATCGCAAAGTGCATGAGGATTAGGATGAAATGAGATGATAAGTAGTTGTAGTAGTAGCTGGTAGCAGCAGCAGTAACAGTGGCTGTAGCAGTAGTAGTGGTAGTATTAGTAGTAGTAGTAGTAGTAGTAGTAGTAGTAGTAGTAGTAGTAGTAGTAGTAGTAGTAGTAGTAGTAGTAAATACAAATAATTCTGTTTTTAAAATCATATAAAATGTCTAAAGAAATAGTTAAGAAGAATGAATGTACATAGGGTTGGTGCTTTGCTAAACAAAATTGTCACGTTCAACCAGCATCCCCTGAAGGGGGAGCTTTAGGTTATAATTGTGACCAGGTTTGTGACACTATCTAGCATTTCATGCCCCCCCCCCCCTTAGTTTATGCATACCGTAACGGATTTAGATGATAAGATAGTCTTATTAGGTCTGTTGTGTGATTTGAAATTAAAATTGTTTATTATAATAACACTATGTCAGTTCTAGTTCGACGATAACTTCATTTAAACAGTGAAGACGTACACTTCAGAGTGAGGTGTTGTATACGTATGCTTCACACATGTACTTTCAACAGGTTATCTAATGTTTTTAAGTTCTCTTCTAACACGAAATACAAACATCTTTCTTCTAACGAAGTGTATGATGTGTTCTCAATTAGGAACATCTCAGTTACTCATAAAAAGTCTGATATTTGCTTTCTTGTTCGTTAAATTCCTAAGCCATACAGTAGACCGGCTATAATTCACAAGCTACAATTATTATTCTTTACATTTTAGCTAAACACGCTTTCGTCCGGGTCCTGTGTCCTCCTCTCCTCCCTTGCATCCACTTGATTTTTCGTTGTATACTTTCCTCTCAAGGCGTCAGCAATTTGTAACATCTCTGCCATATGTCACTTGGCCATTCTCAGCTTCGGAAATTATCTGGTCTGTTCGTCCCGCTTCATCTACCGGAAAGATTAATATGCTTCTCCTATCTGTACCTGGAGTAGTGTTGTCTGAACTGTGTTCTAATCTATGTTTCTATCGCTTCAACTACCATGCAACCTAATAATACATCTGCGTCCATTCTATGTCTCAGTGACTCTGGTATTGTAGTTGGCCGCCAGCGCTGAACTTGCCTAACTCCGAGCAATCTGTGTTACCACAATTAAGCGCAAGGGGGATCCTTGACTCGCCTCAATGCCACTCCACATCTTCTCCCCTCATTGCATACATCCTTCAGTGTCCGATGCTGTGTTGTAATCTATGATTGTTTGCCTTCAGCATTCCTACAGGTTATTTGCGCCATATAAATTGGCTTAGCAATGTATGCCATCAAGAGCCCTGAAAAAGACTCCTGCATGTTGATGCGATCAGAGGAGACAGACCCATATAATTTTCCGACCGGTGACGAAGTCGTCTATCGGCACGTGGTGTACGTACATGGTTGGGGAAAACTACTTAAACCCCTTTACCAATTGTTTACGGCAATGGGGTATCCGCCCGTTAAGAATTATTAAAGGTGGTCGGGGTGGAGACCCCTCCTTTAAAATTTGATTGGGTGGAGGGGGGCGCTTAGGGTGCCTAAACATGTAGCTTCTTGAGCCTACGCATGGCGTTCTAGTTATTATTTTGTAAAACGACGTTTCCTGCAGCCCACAGTGTTTCACTTATTTGCGGATTATAATCCTTGATTTATTTTGCTGCATCAGCATTGACACTCTATAGCCCTTAAGAACTCTTTTTCCTGCCTCACTTGGCAAAGAAAATGGGAAAGACCCTACTGAATGGTGTCTGTTTGTTTGCACCATATTGTGAAATCTAGAGGGCTTTCGAATCAGTGTTGCCAGTTTTCCTTGACAAAAAACATCCAAAACGGTGTCAAAAAATATCTAAAAACATCTAAATTTGCGTGAAAATCATCTAGAAAGAACATCCAAATGGAAAGAGTCATAAATTACATAGCAGTTGACATGACTTACCCTAAAGAAGATCCACGGGATAAACTTAGCTTGGATGGTGAAGTTGGAGCTTCAGATCCAAAATGACTCTGGTATGCTTCAGCTGTTCCAATTTATTTTAACACCCAATCAGGGAGCTGATAAGTGGAACAGCCTTTTCCTACTCTTATCAGGTCGAATTTTATTGTCAAGATAGCATTTAAAAAGTCCAATTTCATTCTGTTTCTTAGGTTACATTTGATAAATTTACTCCAAATTAAAAAAAACATCTAGAAAAACATCTACCATCTAAACGTCAAAAACTCCATCTAAATGCAAGGGAAAACATCTAAATCTGGATGTAAAACATCCAAAGTGGCAACACTGCTTTCAAATACTTCTGCATAAATCTTCAGCGCAGTTTAAACATGGTGCTTTATGGTTCTTGTTATTTGGGTAAATAAGATAAGTGAACGAACATTTGATGTCTTTTTCTTTTTCTTTCTACTAATTTTGTTTTAACCCCCCCCCCCCCCCCCACCCCCCCCCCTCTTTTTTTTTCTCCCTCTTTCTCGGTGGAATTACGTTCGTGTTGCTGTTGTTCTTCTTCTTTTTCTTCAACATCTTTCTTCTTTTATTTGTTTTTTTTTTTTTACTTACCAACCCTCTTCTCTACTTACCTCGGTACACTTACTGCAGGACTTGGAGTTAAAAGAAAATGGAGGATGTTTCTCTATTCATTCATCAACTGTTTCATCTATATAATTCATTCGTTCGCGCACCTGTTCATCCATTTATTTATGCACGCATCCATTCATTCATTTATTCACAATTCTTTCTTCATTCTTTTGTCCAACCGTCCAACCACTCGTTCTTTATTTCAGTCATTCACAATTCTTTTTCCATTCTTTTGTCCAGCCGTCCAACCACTCGTTCTTTCTTCCACTCATTCACAATTCTTTCTCCATTCTTGTGTCCAACCATCTAACCACTCGTTCTTTCTTCCACTCATTCATCTGATCTTCTTCTTCTTCTTCTTCTTCTTCTTCTTCTTCTTCTTCTTCTTCTTCTTCTTCTTCTTCTTCTTCTTCTTCTTCTTCTTCTTCTTCTTCTTCTTCTTCTTCTTCTTCTTCTTCTTCTTCTTCTTTTTCTTCTTCTTGGCGTTCTAGTTGGTCTTCTACCTCTGGAATTTGGACTTGCTCCAGGACCTGAGTGTTGCGTGCACATCCGTTTTACAGATCTGACTTATTTGTATGCAGACTGTTTTTTTCCTTGCCTCCTTCGAAGGAAGCTCCCGAATTAGTAGACTTTTACGACATTGGGAGGGCAGTGGGTCTATTCTGGTTTCTCCCCCCCCCCACCCCCTCCCACACACACACACACACACACACACACACACACACACACACACACACACAAACACAGTGGAGCTCCGGAAACCACACAGAAAATGGATCTGATGATTAATTATATGAGGTGACAGTATTGTTTTCAGTCAAGGAAAGATGTAAAACCGAACGAAAAATATTTCAGCGAGCTTCGCCGTATAACAAACACAACCAAACTTGAACGTTGCGGCTGTGGAGCCATCTTCAGCATATACATAGAATAGACAATGCTACATAAATACAAAATATCACTTATCTTCGTATCTCGTGGCAGCCGGGTCGATAGTACAGCCAGTAACGATAAATAGAAACTATTAAAGTAACGCACAGACCTGGCCTCTAAGATTGTGTGTATGTTTGCAGGTTCTGGTGGAGACTCTGGCTGCTCTAGGTGCCTCCGTCAGATGGTGCGCCTGCAACATCTACTCTACACAGGTAAGTCAGCCTGCTTTTTCTAGTACTCAATCCCTGTAGAAGACACCGTGGTGCAGCGAATAGACACTTGCCTGCGGCTTCGGGTCCTCCCGACGCCAGACTTATTTTCAGAAATGACCTTGGCTTCCAGGTCGACCCAAGTACCAGGTATAATCCTGGGAAGTAAAAGCGACCGGCGTGATGTTGACCACATCACCCGCCCAGTGCCGTTTGGTTTATAAAATAGCCTTACATGCCCAATACACCTAAAGGGTGGGAAACGGGTCCTTAAATTGTATTTTTTTAAGTAATCCCTACATTTTCTAGGTGTGGGTTCCAGAGCCCCTTTTGAAGAGAAAAAAATAGCCCTCCTTGTCACAGTATGATCACATTGTTATCTGTTATCTTTTAAGAATGAAGTGCTGCCCCCGTGGGTGTATGATCACCTTGTTATCTGTTAGGGTGCTTTTCTGGCATCTCCCCCCAGGATGAAGTCCCATGACAGTCTAATATTTTCGATGGTGGTAAGAGGGGGTTTCCCGGCTTTCTGATGATTGTAACTATCCAAAAACATCTAGAACTGGGCCTAACTCCAACCCACCTCTGTTTCACGATAGAGTGCAGCCTAGGTCCCATAACTGCATGCAGCCTAGGTCCCATAACTGCATGCAGCCTGGGTCCCATAACTGCATGCAGCCTGGGTCCCATAACTGCATGCAGCCTGGGTCCCATAACTGCATGCAGCCTAGGTCCCATAACTGCATGCAGCCTGGGTCCCATAACTGCATGCAGCCTAGGTCCCATAACTGCATGCAGCCTAGGTCCCATAACTGCATGCAGCCTAGGTCACATGACTGCATGCAGCTGTAGTCCCATGACTGCATGCAGCCGTAGTCCCATAACTGCATGCAGCCTAGGTCCCATGACTGCATGCAGCCTAGGTCCCATAACTGCATGCAGCCTAGGTCACATGACTGCATGCAGCCTAGGTCACATGACTGCATGCAGCCTAGGTCACATAACTGCATGCAGCCTAGGTCCCATAACTGCATGCAGCCTAGGTCCCATAACTGCATGCAGCCTAGGTCACATGACTGCATGCAGCTGTAGTCCCATGACTGCATGCAGCCTAGGTCCCATGACTGCATGCAGCCTAGGTCCCATAACTGCATGCAGCCTAGGTCCCAAAACTGCATGCAGCCTAAGTCCAACGACTGCATGCAACCTATCTACGACCCCCTAACAATTTGACCGCTAGTTTGGGGAGAGATGTTGGGATAGAACCTCTGTTTGTTGAGAATAAAGTGCTGCATGCCGTGGATGCGTGTTTAACATTTATCTGTTTTAATATTATCAAAATATTTGGCTGAACTCTATGGCTCTATGGTGCAACTGCTAGACAATCGCCTGTGGATTTGAAGGTCGTAGGTTAAAATCTGACCTTGGCTCCCAAGTCCTCAACCTTAAATGGGTACCAGGTAAAATTTTGGGAAGTAAAGCCGGCATGTGTGATGTTGACCATACCACCAGCCAATTTGTCTATAAAATATAGGTCTAGAACTATCTGTCCAGTACACCTGAAGGGGTTGAAGAGGGTCCTTTTAGTATGGCTGAATAGTTAATTTTTATCTGTTATCATTCCAGAATGAAATTTCTGAACCTTGTGGCTGCATCTGCTCTGTGTTAACATGTTATCTGTAATTGATTTAGATTGGAGTGATTGAACCCTGATCTGTTTGAGTAATTTGTTATCCAAAATGATTCCTTTATGAAGTGACTGAACCCTGAGCTGTATAGTCGATTTGTTATCTGTAATCATTCCAGATTGAAGTGACTGCACCGTGAGCTGTATGAGTATTTTGTTATTTGTTATCATTCCAGATTGAAGTGACTGAACCCTGAACTGTTTGGGTATTTTGTTATCTGTAATCTTTCCAGATTGAAGTAACTGAACCCTGAGCTGTATAGGAAGTTTGTTATCTGTAATCATTCCGGATTGAAGTGACTGAACCCTGAACTGTTTGGGTATTTTGTTATCTGTAATCGTTCCAGATTGACGTAACTGAACCCTGAGCAGTATAGGAAGTTTGTTATCTGTTATCATTCCAGATTGAAGTAACCGAACCCTGAGCTGTATGGGAAGTTTGTTAACTGTTATCATTATAGATTGAAGTGACTGAACCCTGAACTGTTTGGGTATTTTGTTATCTGTAATCGTTCCAGATTGAAGTAAATGAACCCTGAGCTGTATAGGAAGTGTGTTATCTGTTATCATTCCAGATTGAAGTAACTAAACCCTGAGCTGTATAGAAAGTTTGTTATTTGTTATCATTCGAGATTTAAGCTACTGAACCCTGAGCTGTATGGTTAATTTGTTATTGGTTATAATTTCAGAATGAAGTGGCTGCAGCCCTGGCCGAGGCTGGCTTTGCTATCTATGCCTGGAAAGGGGAGACAGAGGAGGACTTCTGGTGGTGTATTGACAAGTGTGTTAATGCTGAAGGCTGGCAGCCAAATATGGTGTGTATCAGTTTCACATCCTCTAGTTCACTGGTTCTCAAACTGGGTGCTGCGGCAATAATCAAGAATGTTTCCAAATCTGCTTGAGATCAGCGTAGACAGCAGTTTCAAACAGAATTATGGTGAAGGAACCCAAGACGTGTTCTGATTGCAGGTGTACTTGAAAGACAAAGTTATTGGCAAGGCTTCAATGTATTCTCAATGTACACTCGCATAAATTTTTTTTTTTTTTTTAAACCACAGATGCAGAGGCAAACTTTCTGGGTCAAGTGATTTGAGGATAAAGTTCACTGAGTTCCCGTATACACACAAAAATGAAAAATTCATAGTTTTATTCATCACAATAAAGACAAATAAACAGTAACTATGCACTTTTTTCTTCTTTTCCTAAGTATTCAAACCGCTTTAAGGGTAGGGGTGCTGCTGCGTAAAAAGTTTAGGAACCTCTGTTCTAGTTATCTTCCTACAGAATATACACCATTGTTTGTTTTTGTTGCTGTTTTGGCGGCTAGTGCGGTTCTAGCAAGGAAAGTATTCATTTAGTTCTTGACTCCATTCATGTTTATTGATAACTGTCTTCTATACATTTTATTTATATCAAAATGTTAATATAGATAAGTACATTTTTTTTTAAATTTATTAGTGACCTGTATCTTCACTAGAATTCCCTAACTCTAAACTCTGGTGGAAAGTTATTACTGTTCATCCACAGCTAGACTTTCTTCTTCTTCTTCTTCTTCTTCTTCTTCATCTTCTTCTTCTTCTTCTTCTGCCGTTCTAACCCCCAGTGGAGCATAGGCCCTCAACCAATTCATGGCACCATTGTTCTAAAATTTATGTTTTGCATGCACATCCATTTTACTGATCGATGCCTATTTGTGTGCAGACTGTTGGTTCCTCACCTCTTAAGCATATGACTTCAAAAGAGAAACCCCTAATTAGTCAACTCTTATGACATGCTTGTTGGGGGCAGTGTGTCTGTTAATTTTTTTTTTTTTTTTGGTCCTACATTTGGGCCCAAGGGATGCGTCCTGTACAGAAATATATATATGTTTTTAAAGAATTTGTTTTCTGGAGCTCCATGATTTATGGTGTTTTCCTTCGAGGTTTCTGAGATAAAAGGGCAAAGCTATGCCGCTGATCCTGGGTTATACAAGAGACACCCCGATTGTGTGCATGTGATACATCCTTGCATTGCCGACTGTTGCAGATAGGCTCAATGTGCTGCAGGCTGAGTTTCACAGGGGTCGCACAAGACCCAAAACAGATATTCATTGAGGTTATGAAGGAAAGTAATTGTTTTTGGGCCGTCACAACATAAGGGAAATGTATTGAAAGGTTCAGAGCCACTGAGATAAAGGCTTATTTCTGTGTGAAGGGAAGTAATCATTAAACACAAATGGAGCAGAGAATTAACCGATTTGGTTCTCATAGATTGTTTAAAATTGGTTTTAGTCACTTTGCCACATAGAGCTTTGTGACATAATAATGAAATTAAAATGACATCACATTGAATCTACATCTTTTTTTTTGGGGGGGGGGGTGGGGGGGGGGGGGGTATCTTCTGAACGATGTTAGAGTAAATATAATATTGTATCTATAATATCTACACACTGTGCAGTTGGAACATGTACCGAAGCTGTCATACTGGCATACTCATTATCCTAACATCATCCCCTTGTGGAACACAATTTTTTGTTATTTTGAAGCCCTACCCTGCTTTTGCTGGGGGCCCTAAATATAGCCAGGCCTTAAATATGGCCTGACTGCTGAATGGGGTTTTCGGAACCTCTTCACAAGTGATCCGCATGGTGGCACTTTGTGTCACCGGATGTTTATCGCTTTGTGTGATATCCTTACATACTTACATAATACTAGCATACCAGGTCTTATCCAAACATATTGTGTCAACGAAAACTCATAAATGTCAGAAAAACAGGTTTCTTGCAGCGAGAGAGTTGAAGAGTAAGAACAGAAAAGATGATTTGGGCTAGATTAGGACAAACAAGGTGGAAGGGGGAGGAAGTTTTAGCTACCTTTCCAGTGTCATTCTTTCCCAGACAATTCTGGAAAGGATCTGGCACCCATTTTGATAAGCCTGGGTCAACTTTCAGAACTATACTGGTTGGGTGGAGTGAGGGGGGTGCTACCTCACCACTGTAAAAATCAGCCTTATATTTCGATATGGCACTGTGGGGGAGTGTGCCCATTCCACAGTTCTCAGTTTACCAGAGTTCCATTTCTGCAATTGAAACTTTATTAAAAGATCATTCTCATGGCTGCCAGACATCGGTACAAGAATTGCACCATTAAAGATGTTGAGGCCTTCTCTTCTCTTTTGTCAGTATCTGCTTGTGTGCCACTAGGTGTCGCCCCGAGCCAGTTTGTGCTGTTGATAGCATACTGTGATGTCTCAGGCTGTTAGCGCCCTTTAGTCTTTTTTCAGGGTCTCCTTTTGCCTGTTGATGTTTCGGTTTTCATTTTGTGAGCTCTCCTTGCTTCTGGCAGCATTAGATTCATTCTCACTAGGTGCTCAAACCATTTGAGTCTTTGTTTCATAACTCTTTGAGTCCCAGAGGGTTTAGCATCACAGGCCCAAGGGGTAGTCAAAAGAGACGTAAAATTGGTGCATCATACGTTCATTGGGCTTCTAGGCAGTAACCTATGAACATATGATGCATTCCTTGGGACTCAAAGACCTAATGACTTTAACAATATGTATTGTTTAACAAATGTTTTAATCTCTTCATCTCTCATACAGCCTTTGTCAACTAGGTGACAAATTTTCTGTCTCTTTTTGGTTAATATCTGAGTCTGACATGGGCACTCTAGAGCTGGAATAAAGATTGTATTTATAATTTGTCTTTTAATGTCTCTTACAATTAGCTGAGAGTTGAGTGGGGCCTCCCTACGTGATATTGCCTCATTGCTTATAATCTCCCCATTTTTTTTTAAATTCCACCCCAGCTGTTGCCAGAGGCCTTAAATATAGAATAACAGTTGAACAGGTTGCTGGGACTCAAACCTGAGTGATCCTCATCCAAAATGGTGGCACTGTATGTCATCGGGTGTTGGTCGCTTATTGTGCATTCCTGGTGGGGTTGAACCATCACACACTCACTAATATTTCAACTGACAGGGGTAATTGCACATATCAGCTACAGCCAAGCTCCATTTTAGAGGCAGCACACTTTAAAATAACTCAGTATTTTGATACACCAACCATTCCTCAGATCCTGGACGATGGAGGAGATGCCACTCACTGGCTGCTGAAGAAGTACCCGGCCATGTTTAACATGATCAAGGGCATCGTGGAGGAGAGTGTCACAGGAGTCCACCGTCTCTACCAGCTGTCCAAGACTGGCAAGCTGACTGTGCCCGCTATGAATGTCAATGACTCTGTTACTAAGGTATCTCTATCTTACTTTAATTGTTCTTTAAGTTAACATTTGCTGGCATTTTTGTTTTCAGATAAAACATGTCCTGGCATTTTTGTTTTCAGATAAAACATGTACTGGCATTTTTGTTTTCAGATGAAACATTTCCTGGCATTTTTGTTTTCAGATAGAACACGCAGTGGAAGTTTTGTGTTCAGATAAAGCATGTCTTGGCGTTTTTATTTTCCGATAAAACATTTGCTGGCATTTTTGTTCTCAGATAAAACATTTGCTGGCATTTTTGTTCTCAGATGAAACATTTGCTGGCATTTTTGTTTTAAGATAAAACGTTTTCTGGCAGATTTTTCAAGTGAATATTCTTCTCCCCAAATCTTGTTTCATTATAAATCATCATCATCATTATCATGTAGCAGGTCCTTTGCAGAACGTCGCTCTCATCACAGTCTGCCTGAAAGAAACTCGGTCTCTCGCCAGTTCTCCCGCCTCATGCATTTTCGGATTCATGGAGTCACCTATATCCTGTGCCCATCTTAGTGTTGGTCGGCCCCTGCCTCTCCTTCCTGGTACCATGTCTTCTGCTATAATTTTTTCCAATCTGTCGTGGCGCTTGATATGACCAAAATATTTCAGCTTTCGAGAAAGGATGCTGTTTATTAACCAATCTTTCTTGATGTTCAGATCTTTTAAGATGTCAATATTTCTCATCTTCTTTGTCCAAGATATTCTGAGAATCTTTCTATAGCATTTCAGCTCAAAAGCCCCTATTCTCTTTCTTAAGGACCGAGAGATAGTCCACGACTCACATCCGTATGTAGCCACAGGGAAGATGCATGCTCTCAAAAATTCTAATTTTTATCTCCTTGCTGGTGCTTAACCATGGACTTTTAAGGCTGTTCAATCTTTGCATTGCTATGGCCATCCTCCTTTCAATTTCTGTCAAACAGTCTCCATTGTTGTTTATTATAGAGCCTAGATATTCACAGTTTGTGACATTTTCAATTTCTTCATCATTTATTGTTTTTTTTTTTTTGGTGACAGCCAGTTTTATCTGTGGACATTATTTTCGTTTTCTTTAAATTCAAGAACAGATTTTGATCTTCACTGTGCTTTTGGACAGACAATATTAAATCATTATAAATACTTCTTTTAATTATTTTGTGTGTGCATAATTTGCATAATGTAGTTACTGTCTATTGTTAAATCAGTATTTTTATTAGCCAGCTTGGTTAGGGCTCTTGAGACGATTCATTTGCAAAGACTGTACTTTAGGAACACTGTGATGGGGGGGGGGGGGGGTAGTCGAAGAAGAGAAGGGCAGTGAAGATACTGGAATGTCAACATCAAGAAATAGGCAGGACTATGTTGTCATGTACTTGTTTATCAAGCGGAAAACAGAGAAAGATGATGGGTTTTATGTGCTAGAGCTTCCATTGATACACCTCAATGAACCTAACAGGTCAAGGGTTATGTTATGTTACATTTTTATATTTTATGTGGGGGAAGTTTAAGAAAAATAGTTAGAATCCATTTCAAATAATAATAATAATAATAATAATAATAATAATAATAATAATAATGATACAGAGAAATCCACTCTAAAATATTATATTTTTTTAACAACAGACTTCTAATATGTTGAGTTCACTCTATTCCATGGCTAAGTGATTAAATGTTTGCTTTCCATTCGAAAGTCCTGGGTTTGTTTCCCAGACTGTGTCATTGAGTTCACAAGTACAATTTATACTGAGATCATTTGCTGGCTGTTTGTGAAACTTTTGGCAGGCAGTCTACCATTCTGTCAAGAGAGACTGATCCATGTTGGATACAACTTAGTGCAATGACATTGATCCTCTCAACATGTTAAGATTGCAGGTGGATGTTTAGTCACATTTATTTATTTATTTAAAAAAATACAAAAATCTGACATTGAGATTTTATTTGTCAGCTGCAGTTTCGCTATGTTGAAAATTTTTTTTATCTTTTAAACTTTCATGATCAAATTTCATACTGATGTGCTTGCATTGAAATAAAACCCCAGTGATGTGAGAGATTATGACCTGTCATTAGGGAACCACTGTGGAGCAGCTCTTTTTTGTTCTGTCTGAATTATCTAGGTTTTTGTAAGCTAACCATCAACAGCAGTATGTAAATATAATTAAATGATTATACATATGTGAAATATAATAATATGTGAAATATAATAATGTGTTAGATATTTAAACAACACAATGGCTTTTGTTTAGAAAATATCTTCATTATCAATGTATTGTGATTCATTTCTTTGGTATCCATCCAGCTTGGATAGCCTTTTATGTTTTCCTTTATAGATTCTGGGAAAATAAAAAACATATACCTTTCTATTTTTTGTTTCCTTAATGCAAATGCAGTATAATTCATTAGCAGTAGAATTGCTTTTATACAGAAAAAGATTGTATAATCTCTGTCTAAATACAATTTTTTTTTTTTTAAACTTTTATTTTGTATTCATCCAACTCAAATAAGCCTTTGTTCTTTTCCTGTTTTTTGTGTGTGGTAGTTTTGCCAAAGCTAAATAGTCTCATTCTAAAATTGTTATTGTGCTGTCCATATAATTTTTGGCTTTCATTTATCTTTTCCTGAAACTTCAGCCCAACTTTGGTTGCCTGGAAAGCAAAAGAATCAAATATTCATAATGTACTTTATTCCCCAAGTGTCATATTTTTTATTGATAAAGTTATTATGGATTCCTTTGTGAGAAATTGTTTGGCAGTAATTTCCTTTTCAGCACAGCCTTATGAAATATGCATTGGCTTATCATATTTGTTTTATGTTCCAGACGAAATTTGATAACTTATACAGTTGCCGGGAATCCATTCTTGATGCGTAAGTGTGAATAATTTTTTTGTGGAATTAGGTTATCTGGTGAGCTTGGTTGTAGATAAAAGATGAACTCAGAAACGGAAGAATGGTTTATTATAGAAGTAGAAAGAAAGCTGTAGTGTCTGTAGGTTTTCTTGTTATTTTGTTTTTTTTCTCCTCCTCCCTTCTTCTTCTTCTTCTTCTTCTTCTTCTTCTTCTTCTTCTTCTTCTTCTTCTTCTTCTTCTTCTTCTTCTTCTTCTTCTTCTTCTTCTTTTTCTTCTTCTTCTTCTTCTTCTTCTTCTTCTTCTTCTTCTTCTTCTTCTTCTTCTTCTTCTTCTTCTTCTTCTTCTTCTTCTTCTTCTTCTTCTTCTTCTTCTTCTTCTTCTTCTTCTTCTTCTTCTTTTTCTTCTTCTTCTTTTTCTACTTCTTTTCCTCCTCCTCCTCCTTTTTCTTCTATGTTCGCCCTTTCAACAGGCATTTAGTTTTCTTTTTTTCTTTTTTTTTCTTTTTTTGGATATACAACTAGATAGTGATATTTGTGCCTTAGCATACAGAATATCAAATGTTAGCAAACCCTGAATTAGTCAGTCCTTAATTGATCACCCATTGCTTGTTACGAGGCCGTAGGTTTTCTCGTTCTCCCTTCCGCTTAGGAACCACTGTAGTAGGCAACTCTTTCATCATCATTCATTCTTCTTTTTCACTTTCGCATCTACTGGCTGTAAACTCTGGTGGAAAGTTCCGGTTATTTGTTGACTTGTGGACTCTAGTCCTATTCCAGAACCTGAGTCCTGCATGCACATCCACTCTACATATCTGACTCATGCGTATGCAGACTTATGGTTCCTTGCCACTCAGATAGATGCACTCTGATTTCAAAGGAATTTCCTCATCAGTTGACTAGCTCAACATGCTTTTAGGTAGGCAGTGGGTCTATTCTTATTTTCCCCACAATGGGGCCACAGAACCCACTCAGGGATATACTTCATTTTCTCAATGTTTCATAGCCATCTCAGCTGTCAGAGACTAACTCCTTAGGTCCCAGAAAGTGGTAGCTAATGTCTTATCAAAGCAGAAAATAATGGGTATATTACATCCACGGGGCCAAAATACACAATCCTTGTGGGAGACAGATGTGTTTTTCCTGTGCTTGAGAATGCCCTGACTAACTATATGAGAGCATTCCTTAAACTGATTGCAGCCGCAGCCTACAAAAACAGTGGATTTTGTTTTTCAGCCCATTGGACTGCTAATAACACCCAGAAACGAATGTGCATAGAAGTTTATTTGTTAACTCTACCAGACCACTGGCCTGCTATTGCGGGAATTTCCTAATCTGCCACTAAACTGCTGTCCCTCAATGTCAGGAATTTGCATACTATGAGAAAACAATGTGTCACAAACTAAAAATAACTAGCCAATAGTAATCAGATATCATGGATAGTCTTCTCAGATGTCCGCCAGCACGTGTTTGGAATACATTTGTGTTAATTTACTAATTTACTAAAAAATTCTGAAAATTCACAATAAAACAAGCGAATGATAAAGCAAGCACTTCAACAGGAAAGTGAAGTAGGTCTAGGTTTTTCACAGTCCAACAGGTGATTGATACTTTGGTTGACTCAGACTCTGCGGAGTCATAATAATTTCATGAAGAATACATCCCAGTTGAAGTGACACAGTCAGTGAGAGCTGGAATGATGGGGAGAATCTTAAAAATTATATATCTAGAAATAAATCAAAAGTAGGAGAAGGGAGCGTGTCCCTCAAACAGCTCACTTTGTGAAAGAAGGCTGATCCTGCTGAGTGGATTAGCACACAAAGATGAAATATTGGCGCTAGGTAAAAGGTAAACCTATTTTCTACAATGTCTCCAAGTTTCATCCTATTCTTGCCACTTGCATGTTAATGCCCAGGAGCTCAGGTATAGGGGGCAGTTAGGTTCAGGGAATCAGGTCTGGTATGGTTAAATTTGATGTCACAAAATTACAGTTTTCAGCTGATGTGACATCTTCTGCTGCTTAGGGATGAGACATCTGATATGTTTGGCTGGAGCGTTGACCAGATAGCCGATGGGCTGCAACAACATTCATTTAGTTTCTCTGTTTGGTTTTTAAAAACTGTTTTGTTTGGTTTGTTTATTCAGTGGATCAACATCATGGCACACAGGCGTAACCCATGATTGCTCCGTACTACTTCTGACTCAAGCCTGAGTCTTAAGAATCTCAGTGCAGTGCATGAAACCTGTTGCACCGACCAGGATTCTAAAATACTTTAAGTAGATTTTTAGCTCCAAATTTTGCCAGGGCAGCGCCATTAGGCTACTCTTTTTGGATTTCTAACTGCCAAGGGATTTGTTTATGTTCGCAACAATACACACTGGTGTCCAGTTTTACTATCCAGAGACCGGGGAAAATTACTAAAGTCCATTTGAAAAATACCAGCCTTTATTGGGGTTTGACCTCAAGACCTCCAGCACTCAAGGCAGATGCCATACCTCAAGACCAGTCAGTCCCCTGAACTGTTCTATTCAGTTGTAGGGGGGTTTCTGGTATTTTTGAATTATTCTCATCCTTAAGATGTTAATCCTACAGATTACAATCCTGGGGGGTCTCTGTGGTGATTGGTCAAGTCATTTACCTGGAACTTAGAAGGTCCTATGTTCGTTTCATGGCTGCTCCATTAAGTTTATGAATGCAACTTTTACGGAGATGCCTGAGGATCGTCGCCAGAGCTACAGAGCTTGTGCTTTGTGCAACACTCTTGGCAGGCAGCTGGCCATTCTGAGGATAGAGACTAGGCCATATGGGATAAAATCCGGTGCAATGAAGTTAATCCTCTGGTCTTATAACTTCAATCCATGAAGAGAAAAACTCCGGACCCCGTTACAAGATTATTCATAAATTATTAGCCGCCCACCTGGCCTTTTCCACGGCCCACCAGTGTTTGTTTTTTTTGTTTTTTTTTAATACTTAAAAGGAAATCACTGAATGTAAAATTGCTCAGTAAAATAATAAATTTGAATAGTAATATTGGTGCTGATCTGCGAGATCATTGAAAGGATGTGCAGCTAACTTCTATGTAACATGAATTAGTAAAATTATTTGGTTTGGCGAAAGATCCTATTTCTATCTCCTCGATGTGTATTTAACAGGGCTGTATTTAAGATTTATGATGCCCTTGTGCAGTCATTTACTTTACACCCTCTCTTCCCTCAGCTAAACTTCAGCATCACTACTGCCATTTATTTATTTTTGTAATTTTTTTGTTTGCCAGAAATGTATTCAAATGTAGGTTTCATAATGATAAAAGCTAGCTACATTCTGTTGCCCTCAGTGTTGCTAACCTGTACAGTGGTACATATTGCACATTCCTAAATACAGCATGGGCATTGAATAAATAGTGCTACTCCCTTATCACAATAGACCTCTGTGGCTTAGGCATTGGGAACGCGCTTCGTAATGCCGGGTTTGATCCCAGATATGGACAGTTTGTCTTGCATTGGTTTTGGCAGTGGTACTAAGAGCTGACCATTCAGTAAGCAATATCAAACTCATCATCATGTAGCAGGTCCTTTGCAGAACATCGCTCTCATCACAGTGTGCCTGAAAGAAACTCGGTCTCTCACCAGTTCTCCTGCCTCATGGACTTTCATACTCAAGAAGTCACTTATATCCTGTACCCTTCTTCATGTCAGTCAGCCCCTGCCCCTCCTTCCTGGTACCATGCCTTCTGCTATAATTTTTTCCAATCCGTCGTGGCGCTTGATATGACCAAAATATTTCAGCTTCTGAGAAAGGATGCTATTTATTAGCCAATCTTCTTTGATGTTCAGATCTTTTAAGATGTCAATATTTCTCCTCTTCTGTGTCCAAGATATTCTGATTCAAACTACTGAACTTAAAATTTGCCTAGAAAAACCACAACAGCCAAACAATACTGGGATTGATTCTGCATCGTTCTGTAAGGATACGCAACTAACTTAACTCCCATATATTCATAGACCAGCTGGCACTCAGTGGGTCATGTCGTCAGTGTTATTGCCTGTCACTTTTACTTCCCAGGACATTTCTGCCTTCCCATTTCAAGCTGGGCGAACATGGAAGATGTCAGTGAACAAATAAAGAAGAATTTGGAAGCAACAGAGATGTGGTTTAAGACTAATGTTATGAATACCTTGGATGGCCAGAGTCTGTGGCTTAGGCATTGTGAAGGAACTTCGTGATGCCAGGGTGCCGGGTTCGCTACCAGCTGCGGATGATTTTTGTTAGAATGGTTCCGACTGACTTTCTACCCCACCAGGACATCACACAAGCGATAAACACTCGATGACACAAAGTGCCACCATGTGGGTGAGGATCTCCATGGAGAGGTCCCAGAAACCGCGTTAAGCCTTTAGGCCATATTTATGGCCAGGCTATATTGCGGCCTCTGGCAAGAGCCAGAGTAGGACTTCAAATAATGAAAAATTTCGTCCTAAAAGGACATAAGATTGTAAGAAATTAGGTTTCGACATTGGTACCTAGAGCTGACTGTTCAGGAAGCAGTGGCAAACTACTGAACATAAAATTTGCCTAGAAAAACCACAACAGTCAAAAAATGCTGGAGTTGGTTATGCAATATCATATACAGGACAAGCAACTAACTTAACAGGCAATAAGGAAAGATCTAGCTAGATAAAGAAACGTGTACACCCTCCGGCAAGTCTCATGATGATAGTGATCTGAAGAACACCCTGTAAACATTTAGGGGAGACAATTGGTGTGCTAATATTGAGAAGAGAATGTTATAAGCTAGTAATAAGAAGACAGTCACTGAAGATCTTGTTGTCTGTTGGCAGGTTGAAAAGAACCACAGATGTCATGTTTGGAGGCAAGCAGGTGCTCATCTGTGGTTATGGCGAGGTTAGTAGAGCAGAGAAACTGCTCCTTTAGAAAGGAGAAATTCATTTAGACGTTGGTTTTGTTTTGTTTTTTCTTTTTTTATTATTAAGTCAGGAAACTGGTTCATTTAGAGTACCACGTCTTGAAAACTGAACCATTATCATCATAGCGACTTAGAGTGGGCAATCATAGACAGCATTATGCATTGATGGAAGGCATTGTCTCATGCAGAGTGCTGGTTCCTTGCCTCTCAGGCAGATGTACTCCAACTTTGAAGGAAGCTCCCATTTAGTTGACTCTTACGACATGCTTTTGGGCAGGCAGTGGGCCCATTCTTGTTTTCCCCACAATGTGGCACAGGATACCACACAGGGACAATATTGACAAGTTTATTTGAGGAGGCAGGGGGGTTCTATTCCTTTTTCCTCCAAATTATGGCCACTTGAACTCATACAGGCACCAAACTCCAACATTTTTTGTTTTAGCTGTTTATTTTCAATACGCATTTTTAGTAATTTGATAATAAATTTACTGTATACACTATCAAATGAGAAAAATGTGTACCAATATTAAGACTATGACATTTTTGTATATTGTATAAAATAATATAAACTATACGATTATTTATGTGTAAGTATAATTAGCTGTATAAGTTAAAATGCTCCGTAATATAACTAACATATGAATAATTACCTAACTATTCAGAAATACAATTTCAGTATTCAGCTAATTATAACATAAATTTTGATATAACTTTAAAATGTTTTTTGTCGCGTGTGTATAGAAGAAATCAGTCACTGAAGAATTCTAAAAAGTGGAAAGAAAGAAAATATTGAATAAAATTATAGTTAGACAGTTATGATACTTAGGCCATATAAAGACAAGACATCATCATCATCATCGTATGCCATGCCAATAAGTGTAGAGTATAATGTCTCACCATCTCACACTACCACCAGAATCAATGATCAGGTCACTGTGCTTGTCTCATTCCATCCATATCACCAAACCCTCAAGGTATTTCTGTGTTCTTTTCTCTTTTTTCCATCAATTTTTCCAAGTCATTATTAAGTTTTTGAGTCTTTTCTTATAGTTCCATGACTGAAAACACTAATTATAAAGACATTTCTCCTAGTTAAAGGATATTCAGGAGGTGGGAAATTTGAAGGGAAACAACTGTTACTCATTTTCTGGTGTCTTTTTTATCAGTTCGTATTACAAAACCTCATCCTTCATGCAATCCCTAATTTGTTCAGTGTTAGCAAAAATCTCAGCTTTTTTTTTTTTTCTCATCACAGGTCGGCAAAGGTTGCAGTCAAGCTCTGAAAGGTTTAGGGGCTATCGTCAGTGTGACAGAGATTGATCCCATCTGTGCTCTACAGGCTTGGTGAGTCACATAATTAGTTGTGTGGATGTTAAGAGGTGTTACACAGTTAACTTTTCATCAGCTGTCATCAACATCAGAAGTCATCATCAAGATTTATTAAACTTATAATTTTTTTTATTTTTTTTATAATCATTTTGTAAATTTATGAATCATTTTGTAAATTTGTAATCATTTTGTAGATTATAATCATTTGGTAAACTTAGAATCATTTTATAAATTTATAATTATTTTTGTAAATTATCATTTTGTAAGTTTGTAATCATTTTGTAAATTTTATTCATTTTGTAAATTTAGAATCATTTTGTAAATTTATAATCATTTTGTAAGTTTGTAATCATTTTGTAGATTATAATCATTTTGTAAACTTAGAATCATTTTATAAATTTATAATTATTTTTGTAAATTATCATTTTGTAAGTTTGTAATCATTTTGTAAATTTTATTCATTTTGTAAATTTAGAATCATTTTGTAAATTTATAATCATTTTGTAAGTTTGTAATCATTTTGTAGATTATAATCATTTTGTAAATGTATAATTATTTGTGTAAAGTATTTTTTTTTTGTAAATTTATAATAATTTTTGTGAATTATTTTCATTTTGTAAATTTAAAATCATTTTGCCACTGGTACATAGCTACCTGAGAGGGCCTCCAAAATCAGACAAGTCAAGGTTAGAGAACAGACAGAACAGTAAGACATCCTGGTCCTCTAGGCTGGTGGCTGAAGTGTGAGGCCCACACCACCATCTTTGCAAAACCCCATTTCATCATGAAACAGATATCTATCTAGGCCATTAATTGGGACCAGTTAACATGAGCTGAGGCAGGTTATATCTGCAGCAGTAAACCTCACTGGCTCAGTGTGCTGAACATGTGGAATTATCATTTCACCTTTGGTGTGTTTCATCACAGGCTGTGATTGTTTGTCAGGTTTGTTTGATGATGCGTGTCTTCTTTTTCTTCTTCTTTGCGTTCAGCGGCTATAAACTTTGGCGGCTGAAAGTTCTGGTTGTTTGTCCACCTCTGAACTTAGGTTGGATGCGCATTCGTTTAACAGATATGGTTTAACTGTATGCAGATTGTCGGTTCCATGCCTCTCAGGCAGATGCACTCTGACTTTAAAAGAAGCACCCAATTAGTCGACTATTACGACATGCTTGTTGGGGAGTCAGTGGGTCTATTCTTGTTTTCCCCACAATGTAGCCTTGGGACCCACACCGGAATGATGTGTGTGAAGTGTTGTAATGATATTGCAGTGCATTTTGTATCATCGTCATCACTACAATTTCATAAATCATAGCCCTAGATATTCAAATGAGTTATCTTCATTGCTACACCATCCTCAGTTGCACATACCCCACTGGACAAGACAATAACCCACTCCCTAGCAGATATGACAAGTACCCTCTCCCCAGCAGACAGTAACCCAATCCCCAGCTGACGTGACAGTTATACATTCCCCCCAGCAGACACTCATTCCTCCAACAGACATGGCAGAAGCACACTTCCCAGCAGACATGACAGTAGCCTACTTCCTAGCAGATATCATAAAAACAGATTTCCTATCAGACATGACAGTAACTCACACCCCAGCAGAGATGACAGTAACCCACACCCCAGCAGACATGACAGTAACTCACACCCCAGCAGAGATGACAGTAACCCACTTCCATTGCACAAGACGGTATCCTGGAATGCATGTATTTAGGTATGCGTCTGCAGTATTCTTTGCTGATATGATGTTTGGGCAGAAATATTTGTTTCTGCAGTCTTATTTGTTGCTGTAATCTTTTGACATTGATTCTTCTGCTTTACTTTCAGCATGGATGGTTTTCGAGTGGTGAAAATGGAGGAAGTCATCAAGACCACGGATTTAGTTATCACATGCACTGGCAACAAGAACGTGGTGACCAGAGCACATCTGGACCGCATGAAAAATGGGTGCATTGTTTGTAATATGGGCCACTCCAACACAGAAATTGATGTGGTGAGTGGTTTTGTTGTTGTAGTCCTGTGATCAATGGGTGATTGTTTTGTCCTGTCGTGTATGGGTGGGTTATTATTTTGTCCAGTGTCGAGCGGATTATTGTTTTATCTAATGGTGGGTGGGTTAATGTTCTGTGCACCAATGATTGAGTTATAGTTTTTGTCTACTGGGGAGTTACAGGGGGCTGCATGGTCTCGAGGCATCTGGCATCTGCCTTTAGTGCTGGAAGTTCCAAGTTCAAACCCCAGTGAAGGGTGGGATTTTTTTTCAATTGGACTTCCAGTAATTTTTCCCTTGTCTCTGGGTAGTAGGACCGGATGCCCATGTGTATTGTTGCGCACATAAAAAATCCCTTGGCAGTTGGAAAATAAAAAAGAGTAGCACAACCGCGCTGCCCGGGCAAAATTTGGAGTTTAAAATCTATCCAAAATATTTCAGGAACCTCATCGGTGCTGCGGAGTTTATGTACTGTGCTGAGATTCTTCAGACTCGGGCTTCAGTCAGAAGTAAGACGGAGCACTTATGGGTTACTAACCTTGTGCCATGATGTTGATCCATCGTCTAAATGTAAATGTAAATGTAAATCTAGTGGGGAGTAGATTATTATTTTATGTTGTCGTGGGTGGGTAATTGTTTTGTGTACTAGTGATTATGTTATAGTTTTGTCTAGTGGGGAGTAGATTATTATTTTATGTTGTCGTGGGTGGGTAATTGTTTTGTGTACTAGTGATTATGTTATAGTTTTGTCTAGTGGGGAGTAGATTATTATTTTATGTTGTCGTGGGTGGGTTACTGTTTTGTGTACTAGTGATTATGTTATAGTTTTGTCTAGTGGGGAGTAGATTATTATTTTATGTTGTTGTGGGTGGGTAATTGTTTTGTGCACTAGTGATTGAGTTATAGTTTTGTCTAGTGGGGAGTGGGTCATTATTTCATGTTGTGGATGAATTATTGTTTTGTGCACTTGTGACTGAGTTATAGTTTTGTCTAGTGGGGAGTGTGGGTTATTATTTTATGCTGTGGATGGATTATTGTTTTGTGCACTTGTGACTGAGTTATAGTTTTGTCTAGTGGGAAGTGGGTTATTATTTCATTTTGTGGATGGATTATTGTTTTGTGCACATGTGACTGAGTTATAGTTTTTGTCTTGTAGGGAGTGGGTTATTGTTTTATTGACTTAAAAGAGGGTTATTGTCATCTGCAGGGAAGGTGAATATTGTTTTGTCAGCTGGGGAGTGGGTTATTTTTTTTTGTCTTGAAGAGGTGGGTTAGTATCCTGTTCAGTGAGGAGCGGGTAATTGTTTTATCCATTGATGAGTTATTGTCTTGTCCAGTGATGAATAAGTTATTGTTGTCCTGACTGGGGAGTGGGTTACCCTTGTTTCCAGAGGCAGCAGGTTATTGCATTGTGGTGTCCAGAGGGAGTAGATTATTGTTTTGTCAACTGCGGAGTGGGTCATTGTTTGATTTTTTTTTTCTGCATTAAAGAGGGTTATTGCATTGTCTAGTTGGGGGTTATTATGTCATTAGTTGAGTGATCGGTTTTTACTTTGTCTAGTTGGGGGTTATTGTTTTATTAGCTGAGTAATGAGTTATTGCTTTGTCTAGTTGGGGGTTATTGTTTTATTAGTTGAGTAATGAGTTATTGCTTTGTCTAGTTGGGGGTTATTGTTTAATTAGCTGAGTAATGAGTTATTGCTTTGTCTAGTTGGGGGTTATTGTTTAATTAGCTGAGTAATGAGTTATTGCTTTGTCTAGTTAAGGGTTATTGTTCTATTAGCTGAGTAATGAGTTATTGCTTTGTCTAGTTAAGGGTTATTGTTTTATTAGCTGAGTAATGAGTTATTGCTTTGTCTAGTTGGGGGTTATTGTTTAATTAGCTGAGTAATGAGTTATTGCTTTGTCTAGTTAAGGGTTATTGTTTTATTAGCTGAGTAATGAGTTATTGCTTTGTCTAGTTAAGGGTTATTGTTTTATTAGCTGAGTAATGAGTTATTGCTTTGTCTAGTTGGGGGTTATTGTTTAATTAGCTGAGTAATGAGTTATTGCTTTGTCTAGTTTGGGGTTATTGTTTTATTAGCTGAGTAATGGGTTATTGCTTTGTCTAGTTTGGGGTTATTGTTTTATTAGCTGAGTAATGGGTTACTGGTTTGTCTGGTTTGGGTATGTTATTGTTTTGTCTAGTGAGTAGTTGGCATATTGTCCTAATTGCAGTGAGATGGGATGTTATCTTGTCCTATAAAGGGGTGTGCATGCATGTATGTATGGGAATGTGAGAGACAGAGAGTTTTTAAAATTGTCCATTTGGTAGCTATTTTGTATGATTTTTATTTTCCTGCTTTCTCACATTAGTTATGTTTTCCAGGCCAGTCTACGTACGCCAGAGCTAACCTGGGAGAAGGTCAGGTCACAGGTAGACCACATAATTTGGGGAGACGGCAAGCGTATCATCCTGCTAGCCGAGGTATGACTTAGTTGTGTGTTTATGCATCTGTCTCTTTGCCATTATTAGCTAACTGAATGAACAAAAAATTGAAAAATTTTAATTTTCAAAGGGTTAAGAAATGAGGAGAGTCAGCACAGAATCAGTACTGAAATGTATCAGTAGATAACATATCAAATGGTTTGGTTATATAATAAGATTGACAACAGACAGGGCACTACAGAGGGCAATGTTATACTGATTTGATTTGATTCAAGAACCGACATCACAGCACTCGGGGCGTCCCCATCTTCAGCAGCCAGGGAAGAGCTCCGATACTAATGGTGCCAGTAGCATTCTGATTGAACGTCCGTCTTGCCTTTCCTCTGAGCCTCGAGCATCTGCCAGAACCTCTCATCACTCCCCGCTCCATCAATCTCACCAGACTGTGGTGATCCATCTGCTCCTCCGAACTGTACACGCTCTCCCACAAGGCACTAACCACGTCTGCCCTATCATGTATCAGTATTCCACCAAGTTGTGCAGAGCCAGCCAGTCTGTCCGCCTGTTCATTTCCCAACACACCAGCGTACCCCGGTGGAAAAAATCCAGACAATACTCCTCACCCGTGTCTTCTGCAGTGAAGCATGCCACTCTGCACGAAATATAGCTGTTCTGATCTTCCTCAGCATGCTTTCTGAATCAGTTACTGTTATACTGATACAGTGGTAATAGTGCCAGAGGTTGACCATGCAGAAGATGGAAATATTGGAGGCACTGAAAAGTACTATACACAAATTGAACAGAAGGGCCCATTCCAGAGATCTCTTCCTGCACTGATACTGTGAGGCATTCCAGGAGCAGAGAAAAGAAGAAGAAGAATTGGGCACCCGAGCCCATCAAGGCAGACTTTTAAGTGGAGAGCCTCTGGAAACACGACAGGTCTTTATTAGGGACAGCCTTTCTCAGAGCTAAGTGAATAGGAGAAGATAAACTAGCAAAAGTTGACCTTTGTCTGAGCTAAGCAAAAAATAAGAACAAGGTACTCAGACAACCAATGACAGACAACAGATACTGAACAAATAACAGACATGTGCCAGCGTTCTAGACATTTATGTGGGTTCACCGGTATATCATTGTCTTATGCAGCCACTCGTTGGAAGTTTAAATGTATGAAAACAATGCCTTCTTGTAATATATCAAACAATGTTCATGAAAAATTCAAATGAGCATATGTAAATTGTCTTTATTTTTTTTCTTCCTGGGGTCATTTTGATCCAAGCTATCATTTGAACTTCTGTTGTGTTGTCTTTAGTGGTCCAAGGTCACAGGTTAGTTAATTATGCATTCCTTTCATGAAGTCTATGCATATGCAAATGAAGCAACCATAAAGAATTCTTCTGTTTGTGTGTACAGCAGTTAAGAAATTGACATTATTTTAATTTTTTTCAATGTATTTTTAATTCAAGCTAAAAGTTCAAATTATTCATTGCCGTGTTTATCCAAAGTCAAATACTGATTAATAATGCAGGTTGTTCCATGCTTATTTATATTTAGATTTTACAAAGTTGGGGGCAGCGGGGAAGCACTCTATGTCCTATTTTAAATTTTTTTATTACTTATTGAACGAATTGAGGATGAGTGTTTTATCTGTTACTGTTAGCTATTGTAGGTGTTCAATAGCTGGGCAAGGTGCCTATTTTGATATTTTCTGTTACAAAGTGTGCTGTTGGTCTTTTTTTCAATTCTAACCAGTCTTCTGTCTCTTTGTATTGCCAGTCGATTCTGATAGAGATATTTTTTTATTTCTGTTGTGACATGTTGCCCAACTGTCCAGCGTCCTCTTTCTAGGTCTTCCTTAGCTCTTTTTATTGGCAGGAGAGAATGATACCCCTGGGTGTGACCAGAGGGTTTCAGCCGGAACACTACGCTTAGAGGAAAGGCAAGATGGACATACAACCAGACTATGACCAGCATCATTAGTATTGGAACTCTGCTCTGGCTGCTGAGGATGGGGGCGGAGCACATATGGGAATGCCCCGAGGGCGGTGATGTCAATTCTTGACTTAACTCAAATCAACCCCAGCTCTTTTTTTTCCAGTGTATCAGTTGTTGCCATTTACCTTTTCTTCTGATTTTCCTAATGAATGTGGATTTTATTATTCTTTTGAGGGCAGTCAGTTTCTTTGCATGTAGCTTTCTTTCAAGACGACATGAAAGATATGTTTTATTTTTTATCTGCCAGGGGAGTTCTCATAATTCTTCTGCAAAACTACATCATGGCAGAGTCACATAGCTTTTTCTTCTGGATTTTCTCAAACAAAAAGACATAGTCATGAACCTGCATTTGCCAAGGCACTGATGCAGTCCATGCTAGATTTATATTTTGATTGACCAGTTGGCTCTCAGTGGTTGATGTAGTCAGCAAAACACTGGCCATTTTTACTTTGCAGACATGAACAGTTAGTGAATCATTCTGTGGAAAGTTTAAAAAAAAAAGTAAAGGACCCTCTTCCAGGCCTTTAGGCGTATAGGGCATATAGGGATAGACCTATATTTGTATAGACCAGTCGGCGCAAGAAGGGTGATGTTGATTCTGTAAAAGCAACATAGATATGTTGTGTGTGTATGCATGTGTGTGTTTGAGTGTATGCATTTTTACGATGGGAAATCATCAGATTTTTCATTTTCATTTTTTTTTTATTCTAATGAAAATGTTTTGAATGACATCGGCTCACAAAGAGATGCTTGATAGGCAGTTACTTTTTACTGTAGAGAATTTTGTTTTAAAACTGGAAGGATTCATTTATATGTTTTATTATTTTTTATTGTTGCTGCAGTAGGCACCTGCTGAGATAACCAAAATGTAAATTGTGCAGTCTGTTGTTTTGTGTCTTCTTTGTTTAAATAAACTAGGGTTTGGTTCTGCATCATCATCATCATCATCATTGTCATCCTGTGGCACTGCTTGTCATCGGGTCACCAGTCGCTGTCGACTGTCTGATCAGATCCCCTCCAGGAGGCATAAATGTTTAGCATACCATTATCTAAACAGCTGATTTTTAACTTTTTAAAAATCATACTATGACTTTCCTTGCCATTCACGAATCACCATGTCACAGGGCTTCTCCTGTGTTTTGCGGGTGTCATGTTTTGTCACCGGCCGGCGATACGGTCTGAAAACATGCAGAACTGGCCTTAATTAACAATAAACCTCCTATATCCCATGAGAGAGTGCAGCCTAGGTCACACGACTGCATGCAGCCTGCGACCTAGGCTGCACCTCTCTCTCTTCTTCTTCTTTTTCTTCTTCTTCTTCTTCTTCTCTCTTCTTCTCTCTTCTTCTTCTTCTTTCTTCTTCTCTCTTCTTCTTTTCTCTCTTCTCTCTTCTCTCTTCTCTTTCTTCTCTCTCTTCTTCTTCTTTTTCTCTCTCTCTCTTCTTCTCTTCTCTTCTTCTTCTTCTTCTCTCTCTCTTCTCTCTTCTCTCTTCTTCTTCTCTCTCTTTCTTCTTCTCTCTTCTTTCTCTCTCTTCTTCTTTCTTCTTCTCTCTTTCTTCTCTTCTTCTCTTCTTCTCTTCTTCTTCTTCTTCTCTTCTTCTCTCTCTTCTTCTTTCTCTCTTTCTTCTTCTTCTTCTCTCTCTTCTTCTCTTCTCTTCTCTCTCTCTTCTCTCTTCTTCTTCTTCTTCTTCTTCTTCTTCTCTTCTTCTCTCTCTCTTCTCTTTCTTCTTCTTCTTTCTTCTTCTTCTTCTTCTTTCTCTTCTTCTTCTTCTCTTCTTCTTCTTCTCTTTCTTTCTTTCTTCTTCTTCTTTCTCTCTTCTTCTCTTTCTTCTTCTTCTTCTTCTTCTTTTCTCTCTTCTTTTCTCTTCTCTCTTCTTCTTCTCTTCTTTTTCTTCTTCTTCTCTTCTTCTCTCTCTTCTTCTTTTCTCTTCTTCTTTTTCTCTTCTTCTCTCTTTCTTCTTCTCTTCTTCTTCTTTCTCTTCTTCTTCTTCTTCTCTCTCTTTCTTCTCTCTTTTTCTCTCTCTCTTCTTCTCTTCTTTTCTCTCTTCTTCTTTTTCTCTTCTCTTCTTCTCTCTTCTCTCTTTTCTTCTTTCTTTCTCTTCTTCTCTCTTTCTTCTCTTCTTCTTTTTCTCTCTTCTTCTTCTCTTCTCTCTTCTCTCTCTCTTCTTCTTCTTTCTTCTCTCTTTCTCTTTCTCTTCTTCTCTCTTCTTCTTCTTCTCTCTTCTCTCTCTTCTTTCTTTCTCTTCTTCTTTTTTCTCTTCTTTCTTCTCTCTTCTCTCTTTCTTCTCTCTCTCTCTCTCTCTTCTTCTTCTTCTTTTCTTCTCTCTTTCTCTTCTCTTCTCTTTCTCTTCTTCTCTTCTTCTTTCTTTTCTCTCTTCTCTCTTCTTCTTCTCTTTCTCTTTTCTTCTTCTTCTTCTCTCTCTTCTCTCTTCTTCTCTTCTTCTCTCTTTCTTCTTTCTTCTTCTTCTTCTCTTCTCTTCTTCTCTCTCTTTCTCTTCTCTTCTTCTTTCTTCTTCTTCTTCTTCTTTTCTCTCTTCTCTTTTCTTCTTCTTCTTCTCTTCTCTCTTCTTCTTCTTCTTCTCTCTTTCTCTTCTTCTTTCTCTTTCTTCTCTTCTTCTTCTCTTCTTCTTCTTTCTTCTTCTTCTTTCTTTTCTCTTCTCTCTTCTTTCTTCTTCTCTTCTTTCTCTCTTCTCTTCTCTTCTTTCTCTCTCTCTTCTTCTTCTTCTTCTTCTTCTCTCTTTTCTTCTTCTCTTCTTCTTTCTCTTTCTTCTTCTTCTTCTCTCTTCTTCTCTTCTTCTTTTTCTCTTTTCTTTTCTTCTCTTTTCTCTCTTCTTCTTCTTCTCTTCTTCTCTTTCTCTTCTTCTTCTCTCTTCTTCTTTTTTCTTCTCTTCTCTCTCTCTCTCTTCTTTTTTCTTCTTCTTTTCTCTTCTTCTTCTCTTCTTTCTTCTTCTTCTTTCTTCTTCTTTCTCTCTTTTTTTCTCTTCTCTTTCTCTCTCTTCTTCTCTCTTTCTTCTTTCTCTCTTTCTTTCTTTCTCTCTCTTTCTT